ATGTGTGCCATGAGTGTGTCCCTCCTTCAKCAGGAAGTGGACTGCATACCTGAGGGAGTCCCTCGCCTCCCACCCGTCCTTCTGATCGAAACTCTGCCCTCCGTTACGCATCAGCGTGAAACTCCCCTCACCGACACACAGGTAAGCATCAATGCACCTTTCACGTCTTTTAAACTGTAAGGTTAAAATGAAGTTGTTTATTCTGCATCTGCAAGAATATTTTGGTAGTTTGATTTTGAAAGCCAACTCTAAATCTCTTAATCTGCTTTATTCTCTGGAGAAGTAGTTTCACTTTGAGTTGATCATTAACTTCATCTATACAGGACAGAGATAACATCTCTGCAAGAATTTTGAGATGTGCACAATAATATTTGCTTAGATATCATCTTTTTTTCCTGAGCTGATTGTTTTATTTGATTTCATTTGTGTGTCGAARCGTTGAATTGTTCGCAGAATGTGTGAGCTCTCCTGATTGAAACAGTGACTCAGAGAGGCATTTCCTTCATGTGTTTCTGTTTCTGCGCCTGGAACCAGTGGAATTTCTGCCATGACGARCTCCAAGAATCAAAACTTTTGCACCCTGGTGAGCTTGCTTGTGCAGTCATGTGGGAAAACCAGTCATACCTGTGGATTTTAAAATGTTTTTAGTGAGTAAAATAAAACATTTTTCTCTTCTTATAAATGCATGAGACTGACACTTTTGATTGTTATTGAGAGTTTCTCCAGTCTTACATCATCTAAAGAGCTATCTGCAACAGGTGAGATATTTTTGTTCATAACCACAGATTTGCACTCTTAAAGACTTGATGTATATTTTTAACTTTTAAAAAACCAAAATAAAACAGATAAACAGGACAGCTACCTTTTCACATTAAAGAGAATTAGTGTGGGGGGAGATTTGAAATGTCTCTGAGTCAGCTTTTCTAAACTGATGTGGACCAGGAAGGCCTCCTCAGACACGACAAAACCCAAATTCTTCTGCTGAATTTCTGCAGGAGGTCCTGATGAAGCCTGCCACAGGCTGCCAGCTGCACGGYCTCCGAGACAAAAGACCTGGATCATGTGTGCATCATGAAGACGGCGCCGCTCGAACCCGACACCGTCGACAGGCTCGTGGGGAACAGAACAATCGAGGACAAGCACACACAAACACACACATAAACACACACACCCTGTTCGCGGTCTGTTTGAAGCGCTGCCATCCGACAAGTAATTAAAAGCAGAACAAACTGAAACAATTTTTACCCCAGAGCTGTGGCTTCAGTAACACCTTTCTGAGAAAAGTGAAATATACATTAAACACACACACACACACACACACACACACACACA